GGGTGCGGGTGGGAGGGGGGGGCTGCGGATAAAGTAGGAAAAGAGGTGGGGAAGGAGAGGGGGCTGCCAGACAATTATTGCGTCCGTGTGTGAGAGTGTGTGGTGCGCTCATGAGAGCGGCCGCGCCGACGCGCCTCACGTACGTTCACTACTTTCGACACTCGGCACCACTAGTACGAGTGCAAGTGTAGATTCACAGAGAACCACACTGTCACATGTGCAAAGTGCCCGTCTACGGTATCGTTTCGCCCTCACTGTGGTGGTGGGGCGGGAGGCGCGGGTGACTGACATCGGGGTCGAGACCCAGACCAGGCTCGCCTCCGCCTCGAGTTGAGGTGAGAAGTTTTACTTGGGAAGCGCTCTCCCGCTCTGCCCCGAATCCTTTTGGAAGTCGTTAGCGGTCCACCCCCCCCCCCAATGTCTGTCTGTCTGTCTGTCTGTCTGTCTGTCTGTCTGTCTGTCTGTCTGTCTGTCTGTCTGTCTGTCTGTCTGTCTGTCTGTCTGTCTGCTCTCTCTTCCTCTCTCTCTCTCGCTCGGGCCGAGCGGGCGAGGCGTCGTCTGCAGGCGTAGGCTTGGTGAAGCCGCGAACAGCCTGCCGGCGTGGGTGGGGGGAGCGGGGAGTGGGGGCACATCCGGTCTGCTCAGGCCTGTGGCCCCACGGAGGCCCCGCGGAGGCCCCACGGAGCACACTACCACCAGACCGAGCCGAGCCGAGCCGGCCCGAAGCGGAGCTGCAGCAGCAGCAGCAGCAACCCACCACTACCTCCACAACCACCACCACTACAACCACCACCGCCGCGACGACCACCACCATCAGTGGCTGCAGCTTTTGCTGGCGTGGCACGGCGCTCGCCTGTTTTGTTTTCGCCTCTAACCTTCGCAAGGACACACGTGGTACCAGGCCCATTCATACCAGGCATCGCCGCGCGCCGCCACACCCTGCCCGCCGCGCCCCGCCACGCCCCGCCACGCCCCGCCACACCCTGCCCGCCACGCCCCGCCACACCCTGCCCGCCACGCCCCGCCACGCCCCGCCACGCATCGCGGAGCGTCGACCCGGGAGTCTAAATGTCACGCCGGGGCCGGGATCCTGCTCCTGCTGGACGTAGAGCCCCCAGACAAGACCGACACCCCGTGGGCTGTGGTCCTACCACTTCAGCACTACACCACAGTCTGACGATTCAGCTTTACAGTCTGACGCTTCAGCGCGACAGTCTGCTTCAGTTCTGGAGTCCACTTCTTCTTCTTCAATTCTGCAGTGCGCTTCAATTCTCCAACACGCTTCAATTCTGCAGCCCGCTTCAGCTCCGCGGTATCTGCCCAGTTGAACAGAGCAGGCAACTCGTCAGTGAGTCGGGCCGAGTCAGCGTCAGCAGGCGGCCTACAGCCTACAGGCGGCGCGCAGGCCGGCCGGCACGGGAGGGGACCAGGGGACGTCCAAGCGGCCAGCGGAAACCCGCAGTGTGGGCTGCATGTCAACTAACTGTTCCGACAGACAGTCACATAGAGAAAAAAAAACTGAGACAACTTTTCATTGCACAACCTTCCATGCTAAAAAGCGGAGATCAGTATCGTTGTTTTTATCACAGCCTCTAATATAGCTAGAGAACATTAACAAAGTATTTTCAGCGTGAATACACTAGGGGGTGGCGTTGTGCAGAATGTGGTGGAACATTCTGTATCGTGCAAACAGACTGGTAGGGGGTCGGTGTCGGTGGGTTTGCCAAACATCGTTGAAACCATTTCTTTCAGTCCTGTGGGGGTGTGTGCTCGGCTAATATGCTAAACCACCACCCGTGGTTGGGGTTGGGAACCAGAGCAACCAAAGCTGCTTTCCACATTTTTCAGCTCGCAAACCACATTTGATTGCTCAAAGTTGTTTCCAGGCGTGAATATGAGATTTGTTTCCGTGCAGCTAAGTTGTCCCTTTCTCCTGAAATCAACTCGACTACAACATTGGCGGAGACAACGGGCACACATTTTTTCCACGCACATACTGCGCGTGGCGTGGTGGCGACCGATCTCCCTCTTCCTGTGCGAATCGTGGCGGGGCGTGGTGGTGCTCAGGCTGCAGAGTATAGCGGGGCGCGGCGGGGCGCGGCGGGGCGCGGCGGGGCGCGGCGGGGCGCGGCGGGGCGCGGGGGGAACCAATCATCTGCTGCATTCATAAGCGAAGCGCTACGAGCACTGCCCCGCAGCCAGCCGCCACGCCCTGCCCGGCCCCGCCTCGCCCCGCCTCGCCCACCCCGCCATTGGGCTAAATATACCGCGAGAGCAGGGCGGCGGGAGCGTGGCGTGGCGGAAGTGGCGGGGGTTTTTGGCGCTCAGTCGCGACGCTGCTCGCGGGCGGTGGCCGACCGTTTGCTCGGTCTCGGCCAAATAATAATAAAGTCATTGCGAAAAGAAGAAGGATTGTTTTTCACATTTCACATTATTATTATTATCATAATTTCGAAAATGTAAGCAATAATAATAATCATCATTCGTAACCATCGAGCATGATAAACATAGCACTATCATTAGCCTTGTCACCGATACACAGGTCCTTGCACATGTCTTCCTGCCGACACTTAGAAAAGATTTGAGCAGGGATGGTAAATTAAGGCTAGCGTTCCTTATTCCTGTCATTTTCTTCCCATTCTCCCAATAATTTACTCATAAATGCCAAATCCAACCAAGGCAGTAATACATGAAGACGGTTTAAATACAATCTTACAGTCTTTTGCCCATCCGAACAAATCTTAACTCCTCCTCGAATTTTTCCCCTTAGAACGATATTAACGTTGATTACATTCATTCACGTTACAAATCGTCCATCCGTCCAAACAAAAAAACAAACAAACAAACAAACAAACAAACAAACAAACAAACAAACAAACAAACAAACACACACACACACACACACACACACACACACACACACAAACAAACAAACAAACAAACAATTTGAAACCTTGATTAGCTGTGGCGTTCATTATTAAAAAAACTGGAACTGGAACGTCAATCGGCAATCTTTATCAAAACTGGATAACGATAACCGGCAATATTTATCAAAACGGGAAACTTTTACCTTCGGGTAGAGACAGACCACAAGGGACTGTCTAATAAGAGTAATATGAACGTCTTCATTTGCCATCCGTGGCTAGCTTGGATCTGAGGGCCGCTATAGTGGAGCTGTCTGAGAGCGAGAGCACGCGTCGGGGTGCGGGGTAGGCTAGGCAGGCCCGCGAGGCCTCCTTGCGCGGCGGGGCTGCCTCCCGCGCAGGCGCTCCGCTCGCCCGCGCCCCGCCCGCGCCTACTCGCGCGCGCCCTGCGAGACTGTCTCGCTCGCACTTGCGGTTCGGTGTGTTGAGTCCGGCCTGGGCCCACTAAGGAAAAAGCCAGTTCTTGTAGCAAGAAAACGTTCTTGTGGTGACGCAAATTTACTTGCCTCAACGCTCAACGCAAATGTTCTAGCTGACTGCAAGAACATGGCATTGAGACAAGTTGATTTTCTTTTTTCAAAAAAGGGCTTTCCCAGGTGCCACGGGGCATATACCATGCTCAAGGTCTCGGGGGTTCGAACCCGACTCCTGTGGTGCTTTACCCGTTGGACGCTTGAAATAACAGGGGCGAGCAAACGGCTGAGTCGAGGAAGTTGACTGGAAGAAGCGGAGCCCCAGGCGGAGCCCCGGCCCTGGGAGCCGAAGGACGCCGGCGGTGGGGCTGTCGTTGGGGCTCCCGAGGAGGCCCGGCCCGCGCCCACCCGACACGCTCCGGGGGACTGACTAGCGGGGGGCCAGCCGGGGGCCAGCCGGGGGCCAGCCGGGGGCCAGCCGGGGGCCAGCCGGGGGCCAGCCGGGGGCCAGCCGGGAGCCAAGGGGGAGAGGACAGGGTGCCCCCGTCTCAATTACTATTCTTATCAAAAATCCATTCCCTTCTTCATTTTATAAAGTTTATCTAATTGTTTTCCCCCCCCCCCCCCCTCAAATGTGAAGAAGAATAGTGATTAACGGTTATGTATTCAGAGGTGGGTTACAGAATGGAGGTTGAAAAATCCAAGAATGGGGATGAGGACTAGGTTAATAGCCGATCTAGATCAATGCAGATCAAAGCATCAGCCACTCACGGATAGTGAGTGCCATCAGCAGGAGGTGAGCGGGGGTGGTGGGGGACAAAGTTGCCGCGTCCCGTCCCCCCGCTTGAGGAATCGTCAGCAGCGGCATAGCGCACGGGCTGGTGAATGGCGGTCGGGGCGGGGGTGGGCC